TAATTTATTCTGATGAGTCTTAAATAGTTCTAAAGCGTTCTAAATGATTCTGGAGTATTTTAAATAGTTCTAGACGACAGTTTTAAATGATTTTGGAGCGTTCTAAAGATACTAAGTCTCGTTATAAACAGTTTTAAATCATTTTAGAATGTTCTAGAATCTTCTATGCAGTTCTAAATGATTCTGGAGCGTTGTAAAACGTTCTAAACCAGTTTTAATTAATTCTGGAGCATTCTAAACGGTTCCACACAGTTTTAAATGATTCTGGAGTGTTTTAAATAGTTCTAAACAGTCCTAATTTATTCTGACGAGTCTTAAATAGTTCTAAAACGTTCTAAATGGTTCTGGAACGTTTTAAATTAGTATTAAACAGTCCTAATTTATTCTGAAGAGTCTTAAATAGTTCTAAAACGTTTTAAATAGTTCTGGAACGTTTTAAATTAGTATTAAACAGTCCTAATTTATTCTGAAGAGTCTTAAATGGTTCTAAAGCGTTCTAAATGATTCTGGAGTGTTTTAAATAGTTCTAGACGACAGTTTTAAATGATTCTGGAGCGTTCTAAAGATACTGAGTCTGGTTATAAACAGTTATAAATCATTTTAGACCATTCTAGAATCTTCTATACAGTTCTAAATGATTCCGGAGCGTTCTAAAGCGTTGTAAACCAGTTTTAATTGATTCTGGAGCATTCTAAACGGTTCCACACAGTTTTAAATGATTCTGGTGTTTTAAATAGTTCTAGACGACAGCTTCAAATGATTCTGGAGCGTTATAAAGATACTGATTCTGGTTATAAACAGTTATTAATCATTTTAGAACGTTCTAGATTCTTCTAGACAGTTCTAAATGATTCTGGAGCGTTCTAAATCTTTCTGGAGCGTTCTAAATGGAAACGGAAAAAGCGTTCTAAACGGGAAATAATGTATACACTTTATTTCGGTTAATTTTTTTCTTCTTCTTTATTTTGTAATCGGGGTTTCCAGGGGCGTACGATGGGTTTTTTATGGTAATGTGATGTTGATAAATGTCGACAAATTTTTACCGAATACCAATTCGTTTCTCCCGAAAGCCGGCGTTTTTTTGTATTTAAATGTTTATTGAATTGAAACCGGGGACGTTTTAGCTTGTTCTGGACGGTTCTAAATGATTCTAGATCTGGTTCTAAAACGTTCTAAATGATTCTAGAGTGTTTTAAATAGTTCTAGACGACGGTTTTAAATGATTCTGGAGCGTTCTAAAGATACTGATACTGGTTATAAACAGTTATTAATCATTTTAGAACGTTCTAGAATCTTCTATACAGTTTTAAATGATTCTGGAGCGTTCTAAAGATACTGAGTCTGGTTATAAACAGTTATTAATCATTTTAGAACGTTCTAGAATCTTCTATACAGTTTTAAATGATTCTGGAGCGTTCTAAAGATACTGAGTCTGGTTATAAACAGTTATTAATCATTTTAGAACGTTCTAGAATCTTCTATACAGTTTTAAATGATTCTGGAGCGTTCTAAAGATACTGAGTCTGGTTATAAACAGTTATTAATCATTTTAGAACGTTCTAGATTCTTCTAGACAGTTCTAAATGATTCTGGAGCGTTCTAAAGATACTGATACTGGTTATAAACAGTTATTAATAATTTTAGAACGTTCTAGAATCTTCTATACAGTTTTAAATGATTCTGGAGCGTTCTAAAGATACTGAGTCTGGTTATAAACAGTTATTAATCATTTTAGAACGTTCTAGAATCTTCTATACAGTTTTAATTGATTCTGGAGCATTCTAAACGGTTCCACACAGTTTAAAATGATTCTAGAGTGTTTTAAATAGTTCTAACGACAGTTTTAAATAATTTTAAAGCGTTCTAAACCAGTTTTAATTGATTCTGGAGCATTCTAAACGGTTCCACACAGTTTTAAATGATTCTGGAGCGTTCTAAAGATACTGAGTCTGGTTATAAACAGTTATTAATCATTTTAGAACGTTCTAGAATCTTCTATACAGTTCTAAATGATTCTGAATCGTTCTAAATCTTTCTGGAGCGTTCTAAATGGAAACGGAAAAAGCGTTCTAAACGGGAAATAATGTATACACTTTATTTCGGTTTTTCTTCTTCTTTTTTTCGGGGTTTCCAGGGGCGTACGATGGGTATTTTATGGTAATGCGATGTTGATAAATGTCGACAAATTTTTACCGAATACAAATTCGTTTTCCTGAAGCCTCTGTTTTTTGTATTTAAATGCGACATGAATTTATTTCGTTAGATTTAGATTTGAAGCGTAAATATTTATTGAATTGAACCCGGCGGCGTTTTAGCTTGTTCCGGACGGTTATAAATGATTCTGGAGCTTCGTGACTGGTTCTGAAACGTTCTAAATGGTTTTGGAACGTTTTAAATTAGTTCTAAATGAGTTCTGAAGAGTCATAAATTGTTCTAAAACATTCTAAATAGTTTTAGACAGTGCCAAATTATTCTAAAGCGTTTTAAATAATCCCAAACGATTCTAGACAGTTTCGAATGATTCTTGAATGGTTCTAGATTGTTTCAGAGACAGTTCCATAAATGATTCAGGCCGATAATTTATCACTCTACCCTCGTATAAGAAGTCAAATTGTGCCGCAGCCTTTCGGCCAATCATCTGCACCTGTAGGATGCAATTTTATATATACAGAGGGGTGGAGTAGAAAAAAAAAGAAAGAAAGAAACGGGATGATCGGTTGATCTGAACACGTGACGCTTCTGTGTTCAATTTTTGCAGGACCGTACTCGGAAAAAAAAGTTTTTTTGTCCTGTATAAATGCTCAAATTGAGCGCTATAAAAATGGCTATTAAAGACACTAGTGGGTTAGAGCGAGAAAATTGCAATTTCCAATCGCAATATTGCTCTTTTTCTTTTCTTTACACAAATTTCCTTTGTAAAAATGTCTCTCTACGAGGGTAGGGTGAAATGTTCTCGGCCTGAATCATTTAGAACTGTCCAGAAGAATCTAGAACGTTGAAAATGATTTATAACTGTCTAAGATATAATCTTTAGAACGCTCCAGAATTATTTTAAACTGTGTGGAACCGTCTCCAGAATCAATTAGAACTCGTTTAGAATGCTTCAGAACGCTCTAGAATAATTTAAAACTGTATGGGACCGTTCAGAATGCTCTAGAATCAATTAGAACCGGTTTAGAACGCTTTAAAACTCTCCATAATCTTTTAAAACTGTCGTCTAGAACTATTTAAAACCCTCCAGAATCATTTAAAGCTGTGTGGAACTGTTTAGAACGCTCCAGAATCAATTAAAACTGGTTTAGAACGTTTTAGAACGCTCCAGAATTATTTAAAACTGTGTGGAACCATCTCCAGAATCAATTAGAACTCGTTTAGAATGCTTCAGAACGCTCTAGAATCATTTAAAACTGTATGGGACCGTTCAGAATGCTCTAGAATCAATTAGAACCGGTTTAGAACGCTTTAAAACTCTCCATAATCTTTTAAAACTGTCGTCTAGAACTATTTAAAACCCTCCAGAATCATTTAAAACGGTGTGGAACCGTTCAGAATACTCCAGAATCAATTAGAACTGGTTTAGAACGCTTTTGAACGCTCCAGAATCGTTTAAAACTGTCGTCTAAAATTACTTAAAACACTCCAGAATAATTTAGAACTGTCTAAAAGAATCTAGAACGTCCCAGAATGATTCATAACTGTTTGTCTATAACCAGAATCAGAATGTTTAGAACGCTCCAGAATCATTTAAAACTGTGTGGAACCGTTTAGAATGCTCCAGAATCAATTAGAACTGGTTTAGAACGCTTTGAACGCTCCAGAATCACTTAAAATTGTCATCTAGAATTATTTAAAACACTCCAGAATCATTTAGAACGCTCCAGAAAGATTTAGAACGTTCCAGAATCGTTTAGAACTGTCTAGAACAATCTAGAACGTCCCAGAATGATTTAGAAACACTCTAAAAATTTGTCTTTCATTTGTTGAACCGAGAACTTCTCACCCTACCCTCGTAATTGCTTTTATTTTTCTATTATTTCTCCTCTATTCTTTAACCGATTAAAAGAACTCAATGTACCCTATAAAATTAAAAAAAAACAATTAGATTAATTGTTAATTTATGAAAACTGTCGTCTAGAACTATTTAAAACACTCCAGAATCATTTAGAACGCTCCAGAATCATTTAGAACTGTCTAGAAAGATTTAGAACGCTCCAGAATCATTTAGAACTGTCTAGAAAGATTTAGAACGTTCCGGAATCATTTAGAACTGGTCAAGAACAATTTAGAACTGGTCAAGAACAATTTAGAACTCTACAGAATGATTTAGAACTCTTTATAAAGATTTGTCTTTCATTTGTTGAACCGAGAACTTCTCACCTTACCCTCGTAATTACTTTTATTTTTCTATTTCTCATCTATTCTTTAACCGATTAAAAGAACCCAATTTACCCTATAAAATTAAAAAAAAACAATTAGATTAAGGGCTAAATCAAGAACTCAATTTACCCTAAAAAAATAAAAAAAAACAATTAGATTAATAGTTAATTTAAGGGCTAAATCCGGTCCTGGTCGCAGTACATGCACATCCTCGCCCTTTACGGCTTTTTAACTATGATATATTTAAGCGTATTGCCCGCAGGGGAGGGTCTTTACATCGACAGATCGAGGGTGAAATCGCGTCTTCAATCTTTATTAGAAAATATACACCTTGCTCCATTTCCGATTGCAACATGGTCATTTCTATGAGTGGAACAAAGAAAGATTATTGAAATGACAGTTGACAGAGTGAAAAGTTGCTATGACACAAATGTCACTCTTTCCTTTTCCTTTGTAAGTGTCTAATTGAAGTTGTCTTTATCGCACTTATAGCCTATATATTACCTATATTGCGATTAAAAATGGAGCAACCTGTATAGAGCAATAGAGTAACACGGAAATCAAAAGTATTTTAACATCGATATACATCACTAGATAAATTTGAATTAATTTTTTTATTCCAGGTTGTTTGTGAAAAAATGCCTGGGTTGCTCCGAACGCGTCTCGCCCGAAGAATTAGTAATGAGAGCGAGCGAGAACGAGAATGTGTTCCACGTGAGGTGTTTCGTGTGCGTCGTGTGCGGTGTCAGATTGCAAAAGGGCGATTTGTACGTCATCAAACAGGGCCAGTTGTTTTGCAGGGCAGATTACGAGAAAGAAGTGGAAATGATGCAAGGTTTTAGTTACGGTACTTGAATTAAATGGTCGCCATTTTTGTCGTTTCTAACGTCATCAATCTCCTTAGTTACTCCATAACAACCGTGTAAATCTGTCAATTGAAAGAATCTCCTTAGTTACTCCATAACAACCAATGTAAAACTGTCAATTTAAATGAATCTCCTTAGTTACTCCATAACAACAATGTAAATCTGTCAATTTAAAAGAATCTCCTTAGTTACTCCATAACAACAATGTAAATCTGTCAAATCAATTAGACTCTTTTTAAAAGATTTTTTTTTAATTTCTGTAGGATCTTGTGTTGAATAATTCAAAAAAAAAGTCTGAAGCCTATATTCTATAACTTTTATTCGACCTTTCGTCAAAATTCCCAAAAATCAATTGACAACATTTTCCTATCAAACTTCCCCCATTACCATAGTTCCTTAATTTACGATCGTTATCCTTTTTGTTCATATTATAATTTAATTTTTACTTTATATATTGAAATGGTCGCCATTTTTGTCGTTTCTAACGTCATCAATCTCCTTAGTTACACCATAACAACAATGTAAATCTGTCAATTTGATAAAATCTCCTTAGTTACTCCATAACAACAATGTAAATCTGTCAATTTGATAAAATCTCCTTAGTTACTCCATAACAACAATGTAAATCTGTCAATTTGATAAAATCTCCTTAGTTACTCCATAACAACAATGTAAATCTGTCAATTTGATAAAGTCTCCTTAGTTACTCCATAACAACAATGTAAATCTGTCAATTCGAAACCATCTCCTTAGTTACTCCATAACAACAATGTAAATCTGTCAATTTGATAAAATCTCCTTAGTTACTCCATAACAACAATGTAAATCTGTCAATTTGATAAAATCTCCTTAGTTACTCCATAACAACAATGTAAATCTGTCAATTCGAAACCATCTCCTTAGTTACTCCATAACAACCAATGTAAATCTGTCAATTCGAAACAATCTCCTTAGTTACTCCATAACAACAATGTAAAACTGTCAAATCAATTAACTGTCTTTTTTTTTAACGATTTTTTTTAATATTTCAATATTCGATTTCTACATTTGTTTAGGTGATTTCATTTGCGACGAGTTGATACCTACGAATAGATCGCACGACGGTCGCAGAGGGCCGAAAAGGCCTCGTACCATTCTGACTACGCAGCAACGGAGAGCCTTTAAGGCTTCGTTCGAGGTCAGCCCGAAGCCTTGCAGGAAGGTCAGGGAGAATTTGGCCAAAGATACCGGTTTGAGCGTCAGAATAGTACAAGTACTCATTTGCTAATTTATTATACAGGTTGGACCATTGAAAAAGAACTAAACACGGTGTTTTCGGGTGAAAAAAATATTTCCAGAGTAATTTTAGAACTGCCTAGAACCATTTAGAACGCACCAAGTTCATTTAGAATTTTATATAACAATTTAGAACCCTTCCAGAGTAATTTAGAACGCTCCAAGTTCATTTAGAATTGTCTATAACAATTTAGAACCCTTCCAGAGTAATTTAGAACTGTCTAGAACCATTTAGAACGCCTCCGAGTTCATTTAGAATTGTCTATAACAATTTAGAACCCTTCCAGAGTAATTTAGAACTGTCTAGAACCATTTAGAACGCTCCAAGTTCATTTAGAATTGTCTATAATAATTTAGAACCCTTCCAGATTAATTTAGAACTGTCTAGAATCATTTAGAAGGCTCCAAGTTCATTTAGAATTGTCTATAATAATTTAGAACCCTTCCAGATTAATTTAGAACTGTCTAGAACCATTTAGAAGGCTCCAAGTTCATTTAGAATTGTCTATAACAATTTAGAACCATTCCAGAGTAATTTAGAACTATGGAAAAAATTATGATTTTTATATTTTGACGCATCCAAAAATTTTATCTACCCGAAATAAACACTCGTGTTTCCTTTTCATTGGGCCACCCTGTATATTCGATAAATTGTTAATTATTTTTTAAATAGGTGTGGTTCCAAAATCAAAGGGCGAAAATGAAAAAAATGCAGAAGAAAGCCAAGCAGGAGAACAATAAGGGGAAGGATTCCGAAAACGAGGAGAAAAAATTGATAGTCAAAGAGGAAGAACAAAGTAAGAATTGATTCGACAATAAACTTATACAGGGTGTATATTTAAATAAATAATTTCAGGTCCTCGTTCGACGCCATTTTTCAACGACAGCGGCAGCGACAACGAAGCAACAACGGACGAAACGATCCTGCAAAATTCCACAAATAACAACAACAACAACAACAACAGCAACAACAACAATTTCCTGCATATAAAAGAAGAACTCGACAACGACGGGCCGTTTTACAAATCCAATAACAACATACCACTACACGTGTTCGCAGGTAAACAATTTTAATATTCAATAAATCTCTTAATAAAAATCGTAAATTTAATAAAAATCGCAATTTTATAAAACGAAAATAAAAACGAAACTCGCGCTTCTCATAAAAATCTCATTACCCGGTGCACTTGATTCGAAAATTCGAAGCAGACGTTTTTGTTCATATTATAATTTAATTTTTACTCTATATATTGAAATGGTCGCCATTTTTGTCGTTTCTAACGTCATCAATCTCCTTAGTTACACCATAACAACAATGTAAAACTGTCAATTTAAAAGAATCTCCTTAGTTACTCCATAACAACAATGTAAATCTGTCAAATTGAAAGAACCTCCTTAGTTACTCCATAACAACAATGTAAATCTGTCATTTGAAAGATTCTCCTGGGGAAATTACTAGATTTTTAAAAAAGTTACTAAAATCTGGTAATATTACTAGATTCTGGTGTTATTACTAGATTTTGGAGATCGTAAATTTAATAAAAATCGCAATTTTCTAAAAACAAAAATAAAAACGAAACTCGCGCTTCTCATAAAAATCTCATTACCCGGTGCACTTGATTCGAAAATTCGAAGCAGACGTTTTTGTTCATATTATAATTTAATTTTTACTCTATATATAGAAATGGTCGCCATTTTTGTCGTTTCTAACGTCATCAATCTCCTTAGTTACACCATAACAACAATGCAAAACTGTAAATTTAAAAGAATCTCCTTAGTTACTCCATAACAACAATGTAAATCTGTCAAATTGAAAGAATCTCCTTAGTTATTCCATAACAACAATGTAAATCTGTCAAATTGAAAGAACCTCCTTAGTTACTCCATAACAACAATGTAAATCTGTCATTTGAAAGATTCTCCTGGGGAAATTACTAGATTTTTAAAAAAGTTACTAAAATTCGGTAATATTACTAGATTCTGGTGTTATGACTAGATTTTGGGGATCGTAAATTTAATAAAAATCGCAATTTTATACAAACAAAACTAAAAAGAAACTTCTCATAAAAATCTCATTACCCGGTGCACTTGATTCGAAAATTCGAAGCAGACTCATATTTCAATTTAATTTTTACTCTATATAGGTACATACAGATAAGCTGCAGAATATTCTATTTAGAGCCGCTTTGAGCCTCTATTAAGGTATTTATTTGAACGGTGTATAACGTGCACCGCAGGAGGCTCTGTTTTCTCTAAAGCGAAATTAAATTTCATGCATATAAACATCCGGAAAAACGAAAAATCCAGGACTAATTTTCCAGCAGGAATATTATACACGCGAAATTAAATTTTACAGTTATTATAAAACCGACGATGCGAAGAAGTGCTTCGCGCAAATTTAATTCTATTTAATCTGCAGATAAGTGCAAATTTGTATATAAAAGGGCGCAACAGAGATAACTTCAATATAGTTTCATTTAAAAGAGAAAGATAGAGCAATAGGTATTGTGGAGAGAAGTTTTTTTAAACTATTTAGAACTTTCCATCAGAATGATTTAGAACTGTCTATATAACCATTTAGAAGGCTCCAAGTTCATTTAGAAGTGTCTATAACAATTTAGAACCCTTCCAGAGTAATTTTGGAGCTGTCTAGAATCATTTAGAACGCTCTAGAATCATTAAGAATTGTCTAAAATCATGCAGAAAGCCCTAGAGTTATTTAGAACTCTTTACAAGCATTTAGACCGCTCCAGAATCATTTAGAACAGTCTACAATCATTTGGGACGCTTTAGAATTATTTACACCTATCTACAACCATTTAGAACCCTCCAAGTGCATTTAGAATTGTCTAAAACAAATTTGAACCCTTCCAGAGTAATTTATAACTGTCTAGAACCATTTAGAAGGCTCCAAGTTTATTTTGAATTATCTATAACAATTTAGAACACTTCCAGAGTAATTTAGAACTGTCTTAGAACCATTTAGAACGCTCCAAGCTCATTTAGAATTATCTATAACAATTTAGAACCCTTCCAGAGTAATTTAGAACTGTCTTAGAACCATTTAGAACGCTCCAAGCTCATTTAGAATTATCTATAACAATTTAGAACCCTTCCAGAGTAATTTAGAACTGTCTTAGAACCATTTAGAACGCTCCGAGCTCATTTAGAATTATCTATAACAATTTAGAACCCTTCCAGAGTAATTTAGAACTGTCTTAGAACCATTTAGAACGCTCCGAGCTCATTTAGAATTATCTATAACAATTTAGAACCCTTCCAGAGTAATTTAGAACTGTCTTAGAACCATTTAGAACGCTCTGAGCTCATTTAGAATTATCTATAACAATTTAGAACCCTTCCAGAGTAATTTAGAACTGTCTTAGAACCATTTAGAACGCTCCGAGCTCATTTAGAATTATCTATAACAATTTAGAACCCTTCCAGAGTAATTTAGAACTGTCTTAGAACCATTTAGAACGCTCCGAGCTCATTTAGAATTATCTATAACAATTTAGAACCCTTCCAGAGTAATTTAGAACTGTCTTAGAACCATTTAGAACGCTCCGAGCTCATTTAGAATTATCTATAACAATTTAGAACCCTTCCAGAGGAATTTAGAACTGTCTTAGAACCATTTAGAACGCTCCAAGCTCATTTAGAATTATCTATAACAATTTAGAACCCTTCCAGAAGAATTTAGGACTGTCTTAGAACCATTTAGAACGCTCCGAGCTCATTTAGAATTATCTATAACAATTTAGAACCCTTCCAGAGTAATTTAGAACTGTCTTAGAACCATTTAGAACGCTCCGAGCTCATTTAGAATTATCTATAACAATTTAGAACCCTTCCAGAGGAATTTAGAACTGTCTTAGAACCATTTAGAACGCTCCAAGCTCATTTAGAATTATCTATAACAATTTAGAACCCTTCCAGAAGAATTTAGGACTGTCTTAGAACCATTTAGAACGCTCCGAGCTCATTTAGAATTATCTATAACAATTTAGAACCCTTCCAGAGTAATTTAGAACTGTCTTAGAACCATTTAGAACGCTCCGAGCTCATTTAGAATTATCTATAACAATTTAGAACCCTTCCAGAGTAATTTAGAACTGTCTTAGAACCATTTAGAACGCTCCAAGCTCATTTAGAATTATCTATAACAATTTAGAACCCTTCCAGAGGTATTTAGAACTGTCTAGAACCATTTAGAACGCTCCGAGTTCATTTAGAATTGTCTATAACAATTTAGAACCCTTCCAGAGTAATTTAGAACCATTTAGAACACTCCAGAACCATTTAGTTTTGTTATTTTCATCACAATCTCTCTTTGTTCAACGCATAGAATTCGCACTTATCTGTATATTGTTTTGCAGGTTTGGATATGAATAAAAGAAGAGAAGAACACTTGATGGGTTTGACGTTTGCAGGAAATTTGAACGTCGAACAGCAGGATATTTTTATGCAACCGCCGGTTGCTCATCAAAATCATTTGCACAATAATTCGGGACTCAATCCGATTGATCGATTGTATTCGATGCAAAATTCGTATTTTTGCGGGGAAGAACCGATGGAACATTAAATTAATTCTTCTTCTTTTTTTTATTTTTTTTCTATATGTGTATATTTGTTGTATATCTGCTTCGCTTTTGGCTTTGTAAATCTATATGTAAAATGATCAATTCTGTTGTTAAAAATAAATATTTTTTTTTGCAAATTTTTTCGTGTTTTTTTTTTTTTATTTATGTGATTACCCTCGTATAAACAGAAATGTTTATAAATGATAAACAGAAAAATTACACTATAAAAACTACTACTATGGAAAAACTCAAAAAATCTCGAAATTTTGATTTTTTTTTTTTACTTTCTTCACATTTTTTCTTCAGTGAAAATTTGATTTTTCTATCTCATTTAATTTTCCAGATAATTGGGATACTTTGTGAAAAAGCAATTAAGGTAAGTTTTACTTTTTTTTCTGAAAAAAACTGGAAATATTTCGAAAACATGAAAATTTTTCGAAATTATTCAAATTGGAAAATTGAATAAGAGAAAACTTTTCTCTACAAAATAATGAAAATTTTCTTTTTCTACCTTGAATAATTCTCGATTTGAGTTGAGTTTTTTTCTGAAAAAACTCGAAATATCTCGAAAATTTATCAAAATTTCTCGTTTTTAAAAATTTGAAAGAAATCTCTTCTCTACAAAATAATGAAAATTTTCTTTTTCTACATTGAATAATTTTCGACATAATTGTGATTTTCTTTAAGACTTTCGGTAGATATTAAAAATTTTCATGAAAAAAATCAAAATATCTCGAAAATTTTGAATTTTTCGAAATTTTCTATTTTTTGAGAGTTCTTGAGAATTTATTTTTTTATAAAATGGCAAAGATTTGGTGATTTTATCTCGATTAGTTTTCCAGATAATTAAGATAATTCGTGAGGCTTGCAGAAAACTTTTTTAAACTTTTTATGGAAGAGCGCCGGAGAAGCTCAAATATCTCGAAAATTTGGGGATTTTATGAAATTTTTGATTCTTTGAAATTTGTAAAGAATTGTTTTTTCTAAAATATGGTGGCAATTTCGTAATTTTATCTCAAATAGTTTTCGAGATAATTGGGGTTTTTTGTGGTGCTGTTTAAGAAAAGTTGTTTACTTATTTCGAATAAACTCGAAATATTTCGAAAATTTCGGTATTTTTTGGAATTATTCAAACTCGAAAATTGTATAAGGAGGTTTTTTTTCTATAAAATGGTGTAAATTTCGTTTTTTATTTCGATTGGTTTTCAAGATAATTGGGGTTTTTGTGTGTTGTTAAATAAAAGTTGTTTAATTTATTCGAAAAAACTCAAAATATTTCGAAAATTTGCATTATTCAAATCAACAAATTGTAGACTTTTCTCCACAAAATAGTAAAAAAACTCGTTTTAATTTTCGAAATAATTGAGATAATTTGTGAAATAGCAATTAAAAGTTTTGTTTTTTTTTCTGAGAAAAACTCAAACTTGAAAATTTTTCGAAATTACTAAAATTTCAAAATTGAAAAGAAGTCTCTGCAAAATAATAAAAATTATATTTTTCTACCTTGAATAATTTTCGAGATAATTGTGGTTTTCTTTAAGACTTTCGCTAGAAAATCTTAAAGAATCAAAATATCTCAACAATTTGGAAATTTTCAAAATTTTTCAAATTGATAAATTATCAACGTAAATGCAATTAAAAAATGCATATTGTAAAAACTATACAATATTACCAATATACAAAACTATTTTGTCGATAAATAAATAAATAAATGTCATTTGTACATATGCTATTACCCTCGTATAAAACAACCGCATGTGCACCACATAAGGGTGCAAGCTTTTAAAAAAATACTATTTTGTTGGAGTTCCTTCTAGTGGAAAATGCGCGTCAAAGGGTAAGTAATTGATAGAGGCTCATTAGCACCCCTAAAAAATAAATTTTAAAGTCGCCACATCTCAATTCTTTGTTCCCCCCGTATAACATATAAGTCGAGGGTAGTTTTATTACAGTAACTATGCTATCATTTCACCGGGTTATAATGAAATGCATAATTCAAAATTCCCAAAACACATTATAACTACGATTTGAATAACAATTATTTGAAAAAATTATTTAAAAAAAATTAAATTTGATGTATCCTAAATTCACCCGATATTCTTTAAAAAATCGTTAAACTCTACCACTCTTATAACTTATACAGTGTGTCCACGGATGGGGTTGCCTATAGGAGAAAAATTTTTATTATTCATTTTACGACAAAAAGGTGTTGTTTATAAAAATTTTTGCTTCTTTTAAAAATGAGAATAACACTGAAAAATCTTAGATTAGATCTACAGGGTGTTGTCAAATTAAGAAAACATGAAAATACCTCAACAGGGAAGTACCATTATTTTTTATTTTACACAAAATTTTTATGAAAGAAATTTGTTTATAATCTAAAATAAAGCCTGAATACAAATTTGCAAACTTAAATTCAAATTTTGTTGTTCAGATAAAGTTGACCAGATAAGAAAAATGGTTATTATTAATTTTACGACGAAAAGCCATTCTTTATAAAAAAAATTAACTTGTCGAGAAAATGAAATTTACATATCAAAACATTAAATAAGACGTATAGGGTGTTAGTAAATTAAGAAACAGGAAAAAATGTCAAGAAAGAACGAAAGAATTTTTATTATCTTACATAAAGAAAGAATTTATTTATTATCTTACATTATTATTTACAATAAAATGCTTTTAATCTCTCTTTTAATGCTATTTTTTTATAAAGAATTACTTTTTTTTCGTAAAATTAATAATCATTTTCTCCTCTGGTCAACTCCATCCGTGGACACACAAAATTGGAATTTTAATTTGAAAATTTGTGTTCGGGCTTTATTTTAGATTATAAACAACTTTCCTTTATACAAATTTTGTGTAAAATAAAAAATAATGGTACTTCTCTCTTGAGGTATTTTCATGTTTTCTTAATTTGGCAACACCCTGTAGACCCAATCTAAGATTTTTCACTGTTATTCTCATTTTTAAAAGAAGCAAAAATTTTTATAAACAATGACTTCTTGTCGTAAAATGAATAATAAAAATTTTTCTTCTATAGGCAACCCCATCCGTGGACACACTGTATAGTAGCTATACTTAAAAGTAAAAACTTGAAGAAAAATTAACGTTAAAATGAACCTTAAAAATGTGAAAATAATGTATTTAAGTCTCTTAGTTGTAATGTCTTTGAAAATTCCGATCTGAGACGCCAAGTTCCTTCAATCATCATTCTATTAATACGAGTTAACTCGTAGTGAGACGTTCCAGGCAAGAACCCAGTACGAGTTATCTCGTAGTTAAGCGAATATTTCGTGTATATACACTTTGAAGTCGCTCGATTGTTGTAATAACTCTTAATTTTGCTGGTTTTTGATAAGATAAAACCACAAACATTATAAATCCTTCACTTTGCAGGTGTTTCATCCACTTTCGAATAACACCTGAATACTTAATTGAAACGTTTGTTTAGTAAGTAAAAACGATTCGATAATGTGAATACCAAAATTAACATTAACACTATTAGGGACATTTTGAATTACTTGTATATTACTAAAAATGGCGTTATTCTCTTTTTAAAACGGATAAGCTTCAGTAGATAATATTAAAACATTTTAATTTATCTACCGAATATATTCTTTAATAACCATCAGCACAAAACGGGACGTTTAACGCCATCTTTAGAGCCCGAGTAATATTAGTATACAGGGTGGCCCGTTGAAAATGAAAGCATATGTGTTTTCGGGTAGAAAAAATTGATTTATCTAGATTAATAGACTAATCTAACACTTATACTAAAAGAAGTAGATTAGTATAGACTAATCTACTACTTCTACTAATGCTATATCCTAGTAAGCTTCTTACTTTGGGGCGTTATTTAAACCTAAACGGAGAGTAAATTCGGTCCGCCCTGTATACGATCGTTAATACAGCGCAATATATCCCATGATATAATCCCATAAACACGTTCATTGTCAGGTAATTCGGGCCCCGAGCAGTAAATTTTCGCAGAGCCGTTTGAGCTTTAATAATGTTTGACAGTAATAACATCCCTCCCTATATATGTAGTCAATAGCCGATAACATTACCTAATACCGACATGACCTCATGGTGTGTAACACCGTCATTAGGCCATTGTTAAGGGCAAGTTTCCCTTTTCGGGGGGGGGGGGATTCCCCGAAGATTTTATACAAGTCCTTTATTATATGTAGGTACATTCTGTATAGAATTTACATGTGGGACATTCTGTAGGTGTATAATATAGGTTTATTGGGTTTCTCTTATATACCGGTACATGTAAGATGTAAAAATTTTTGTGTACGAGGGTAGGATGAAAAGTTTTCGGCCTGAGAATTGAAAGATTTTGTGATTGTTCGTCGAAATATTTGTACATTCTATAAAGAATTTACATGTGGGACATTCTGTAGGTATATAATATAGGTTTATTGGGTTTCTCTTATATACCGGTACATGTAAGATGTAAAAAATTTCGTGTACGAGGGTAGAAAGAAAAGTTTTCGGCCTGAGAACTGGAAGATTTTGTTATTCTATTTTATTCTTCTTTGAAATATTTGTACATTCTGTATAGAATTTACATGTGGGACATTCTGTAGTTATATAAATATAGGTTTATTGGGTTTCTCTTATATACCGGTACATGTAAGATGTAAAAAATTCCCTTGTACGAGGGTAGGGTGAAATGTTTTCGGCCTGAGAATTGAAAGATTTTATTATTTTATTATTCTTCTTTGAAATATTTGTACATTCTGTATAGAATTTACATGTGGGACATTCTGTAGGTATATAAATATAGGTTTATTGGGTTTCTCTTATATACCGGTACATGTAAGATCTAAAAAATTCCCTTGTACGAGGGTAGGATGAAATGTTTTCGGCCTGAGAATTGAAAGATTTTATTATTCTATTATTCTTCTTTGAAATATTTGTACATTCTGTATAGAATTTACATGTGGGACATTCTGTAGGTGTATAATATAGGTTTATTGGGTTCTTTTATATTCCGGTACTTGTAAAATCTAAAAAT